AGGAAAGGAAAGGAAAGAAGTGAAAAGAAAAGAAAAGAAAGGGAAAGGAAAGATCTGGAAAATAAAAAGAAATAAAGATCAAAAAATTAATCGATCAACTCATTTCTCATGACAAATACTTTAGTTGTTTTTAACATGTGAATTCTACCTAACAACCACTTGCTAAGAAGAGCCAATAGGATGTCATATACTGTACGTACTAGTCGAGCAATAATTGCTAGCCTAACGAGACAAGATAATCCAGTGCGCAAAAAAATAGTGAAAATTCCTGCTACATCTGACAACCCTTCGGGATCTACACAAGCACCAAGGAAATGAAAAACTCACAAAATAAATCGAAATATAAAATATAAATGTTGACGGGCACAGTTTCTGTTCTAAGATTCGTCCAACTTCCGGTAATCCGCCAAGAGCCATCTCGAACTTGGTTTTCGCGGCATAGTTTGGCATGATAAAAAGCAAGCATTATTTCAAAACCGTGAAAAAGGAATGACAGGAAAGCTAATTTCTTTACTTTTTCACAGATAAGATTACACGATATTCATACAAAACGAACAGCTGTTGTATACAAAGAAAAGCTATGTTCATTAGAACACTACATACACAGATCTTATCATAAAAAAGTACTCTCCAACTGCGTTTTAAAAGGTGAACTTTTTGATATTGGTTGAGACTGTATATTTGAAGATTTTTTTAGCATATAACAACTAATAAGTTATTTGCCTTGAGCTAGAGTTGAGCATGAACAAAACTACTTAATACCATTCGTGACAACAAGTGTACGGAAATGAATTTCATGTTTCCAACTGTGATTCTTTCAATATCACTATCGTCATTATGGTTTGTTAAAATTATTTTTCAAATAACTATTGGCAAAATAGTGGCTCAGTGACGTGTAGCGAGTACGGAAGCAAGTCCGATGTGCAATATTGTTTTTGGTTTGATTTTTATTTTCATATCTTTCTAGTGTTGAATTTGGTATTTAGTTGAAAACCTTGTTTTCAATCAGTTTGTGACAAGTAAACTTGGTGTATTTTTCAAAATGACATTGTAAATGTAGCCCCAAATCGAAGGGTTTTGATTAGCTACATGCTTCTTTCAAATGCATCAACAAAAGAAATGTCAAAAACATCATAAACACAATGCAAATGTGTGTGTTCTTTTTAAAATTATATTCAAGGATTTAAAATCAGAGTGCACAATTTTATGTCATGATAGATTTTAAAAAACGAGTTAGGAATAACACTTTGATGCATTACACGAGAAGGCCCCTATGCAATATTGGAATCCTAACATTGGTATCAGATTTCTTCCTCGGATTCTCGACCAGTTGAAAAAGAATTGCAATATAAAGGAAATGATGAATATAACTGCGAGTTCCTGATTGGAGGATCTGCTTCTTACGTCATAAAAATGAGAGTTCATAGATTTGTGATTGTCTGTTGATATCAAGACATTTCGCTATCGGGTTTTCGCCAGTTTGCGAGTGAACTCCTCTCAGGAAAACTGAAAACAACCACCAGAAAAGCAAAAACGAGAAAATAACAGACTATTAATTTACTTTCCTGAATCGAACACTAATTGTATGTATTCACAATGGCGCTGTCTGTGCGGCTGGCTTTGGAGTTAGCGAACAGATCTTCGTTAAACATCTGCTTCGAGTCAATAGTAATCGGAGTCATCATCTTCTTCACCGTTGTTGGCAACACGTTTGTTTGTTGTGCTGTATGGAGGAATCAGCGTCTTCGAACAATTTCCAACATGTTTGTTGTGGCGTTGGCCATTAGCGACTCTCTGATGGGTATACTATGTATGCCATTTGTGTTTGGAACCCTCATTGAAGGACGATGGCTTTTTGGCGATGCTTTTTGCCGAGTGCATGGATTTACGGGCTTCACATTGGCCCTGGTTTCCATCCACACCATGAGTCTTATAGCTGTGAACAGATTCTATTGTATAGTAAAACCTTCCAAGTACCAGAACTTGTTCCGATCATCCAGAACTCGAATCTACATTTTGATCGTCTGGTTGTTTGCTTTTGTAGGGTCAGTCCCGCCATTTCTTTTGGACGATGGAGGTTACTCATTCCATCCTGGCAAAGGCATGTGTCTTTACACCTTTGAATCAAACCTTGTGTACACCATTTTCATTGAGGTCGCCTACATTGGATGCCCACTTTTATTAATCTCATTCTGCTATTCTTCAGTCTTTAAAGAGGTGTACCGCACAAATAAGGTTTTCGTGCCAAATCAAATGGCAGTGGATCAACTGCGGGTGAATGTCCAAGAAACGAAAATCACCAAGACTTTGGCGATTGTTTTCCTTGGTTTTAGTATCTGTTGGCTTCCTGCGAGCATCATCGATACCCTAGGGGCATTCTATGGCCAGCCACGCTTCAAACGGGAAGTATACCTTACGTACACCTTTATGGCATATCTATCAAGCCTCATCAATCCAATCATATATGGCATAACAAGTAGGGGATTCAGGCGTGAATACAAGGCTATGCTCAAAGGATTGACTTGTCATGTGCTGTGGAAAAGAAATAATTTTCACCATGGCCAGTCCACAACTTTCCAAGAGAGTCAAATGGAGGCATGGCAACAGTCGCGTCCTGTTGAAGTCCAAGGCTAAATATCTGCTGCCTTCATCAGGGATTCCACAAGGCTCCATTACCGGACCATCTAGCTTGTCAGAAGCCTATGCGTCATTCTGTTTTATTAACAACCCTCGGAACTCTGTTCTCGAGAATCAAGGACTGAATAAACACTTCAATACATCGCATCAACTGATGCCTAAAAAGGGACTTAAGGACACAAGCTAACAATCAAAATTAAGCGATAGTTGTGCAATTATTCTGGCGTTATCGTCAAACAATCTGTAGTTTGCAGTGCCAAAGTTATAACTTTGCTGTCAGACGAACAAAATGTATACTTATGGCATGGTTTGGCAGATATGTGAATAATATTCCTCCTTCTTTTTCTTCTTATATATGTCTGACCTATAACACTGAACTTTTCATCGATTCTTTTCCTTTCTCGGTCTCTAACTATCTTTTTCTCAAGGGAATCATTTTGTAAACTTTATCTAACTTTATTAATTAATAGTTGTTACTATGGTTTATCTATGAACGAACAAAGTATATATTGTATGCATACGATCCATACAAATAACCTGACGTTTGAGACGTTCGTTCTTCGTTCATTCTTATGGCAACTATAGCAACTGATAATTTACTTGTTATTCTTCATTTATTTTTCCTAATTAAAGAGTTTCTTAAGCGTTTTAGTTGAGATTATCTCTATAATCTCCGCGTGTATCGGATCTTTTATAGCTTACTCATTTCTGATAGAAAGACGTATTACTTTGGATTTTTTCCTATTTTTTTCCTTACACTAGATTAGATTGAAAAAAGTCAGTTATGTTAGAGAGCTTTTCGCCGAACTTAATTACTTCTTGCGGCTATTTAAGCTGCACGGATTTTTTTTAATACTCTATTCACATTCAAAAAAAAATACATTTAGTACAGTGCAATTTAAAAATTACAGGGGTTATTTTATCAAAAAATATATATGATGTTCAATAGAGGTTCTCATTTACATCACAGTTTTCATCACGACTATCGATCGCGCGCAACATCATGCTAGCGCCAAATATCAGCGGCTTCCGTTTACGAAGTCGTAAATTATAAGTATTAATTTGTACAGTCGATTTACTTACACGAAGCAGTTCTTGTTGCCAGCGTGTAGCTCGCGTCAGCCGTAAGGAAAAATCGTACTGTGTCATCGAGAGTTGTAGTTTTATTTTTTGAAGAACAAGATTTATTTCAGTGTTCGATAAAATATCAGGGATTCATTTAAAATTGATAACAAATCTTCGAGCCGCAAAAAAATGGTTGCCAGTCATTTCAATTTCAATTTCAATTTTGATTTTTTTTTTTTTTTTTTTTTTTTTTTTTTTTTTCACCCCGGATAGAGAATCAGTAAAACGAGCAAGGCGTTTATATTCCAAGAAAAATGTTATACTGCTACATGTATACTCTTTTAAAAGTAAATCATGTAGTCTTCTCTTATTATAAGTCTTTCTAGGAAAAGAGGATTAAAAAAGATAAATCTATATTTTCCGAGAGTAATTACGAAACAAAAAATATTTTTGCGCGCCAAAAAAAATAATGAATAAATTGCATTTTTTGATCATTTATACAGAAATTAAAAATTCACCACCCAAAGTGATAGGGGAGGTAGGAGGGTCCAAACCTACAGGTATAGTAGTATTGTAATATACACTCGCGAAGCTTTAAATAAAAACAAAAAACGCTGCTATTAATCATTTCATTGAAATTTTTTGAACTCTGTCCTAGAATTGAATATCATCTATTTTCCGACAAGCCGCTGCGTGTAAACTGCTGCATGCATGATAAACGTGGTAATACTATGGTATAAAGTGGTTTATATCGTCTTTTAATCTTAACCACATATATATTCTAATCAATGAAATCCTACATAAAGGGCAACCATCATTTTCCGTTTTATTGAAGAAGAAGGTAATTTTCGGAGTGCAAATTATTTAGTCTCAGATCACAATAGAGAATTGTTTTTCGGGATATTACATGGAAATAAAAATAAAATCAACTCATCACCTGTTCTCGATCATCAGCATCATTACTCTTAATTATGATGAATTGTAATTCACACCTCGTTTGCGAATAGGGCAAGCACTGGGGTTCGTACAAAATATCTTTTGGAAAAAGCCTCTTTTTGAGACGAAAAGGTCTTTGAGTACATGTATTGAACACTGCATAAAATCAGTTGCCCGACCGAACAAGAGTTTATTCTTAACTTTAGCTTTTATAACCTCAGATTAAAGAATAGTTTATTGGTGTAACTGGGACATCACTAACCTCAGTTGTCCGACCAAAGAATAGTTTATTGGTGTAACTAGAACATCACTAACCTCAGTTGTCCGACCAAAGAATAGTTTATTAGTGTAACTGGGACATCTCTAACCTCAGTTGTCCGACCAAAGAATAGTTTATTGGTGTAACTGGGACATCACTAACCTCAGTTGTCCGACCAAAGAATAATTTATTGGTGTAAATGGGACATCGCTAACCTCAGTTGTCCGACCAAAGAATAGTTTATTGGTGTAACTGGGACATCTCTAACCTCAGTTGTCCGACCAAAGAATAGTTTATTGGTGTAA